CCCAGTTTGGGGGTCACAGCCCCCAATGTTCCTATTACCATGGGGACCACTTGTGCCTTCACCTTCCACATCTTTTCTAGCTTTTCTTTCATCCCTTGGTATTTCTCGAGCTTCTCGTGTTTCTTCTTCCTGATGTTACTATCACTTGGGATTGCTACATCTATCACTACGGCATTCTTCTTCTGTTTGTCCACCACTACTATGTCCAGTTGGTTGGCCATTATCTGATCTTATCTTAGTTGGCCAGGATCTTAGCTTGGTCATTCTCAACCACCTTTGGAGGTGTATCCCATTTTGACTTTGGGACCTCTAGCTTGTACTCAGCACAGATGTTTCTGTACACTATGCCAGCCACTTGGTTATGGCGTTCCATGTATGCCCTGTCTGCTAGCATCTTGCACCCCGCTGTTATGTGCTGGATTGTCTCAGGGGCATCTTTGCACAGCCTGCACCTGGGGTCCTGTCTGATATGGTAGACCCCAGCCTTTATTGATCTTGTACTTAGAGCCTGTTCCTGTGCTGCCAGGATTAGTGCCACTGTGCTGTCTTTCAGTAGGATTCACTGGTATGATTTTTTGATATCAGCCACTTCTTCTATCTGACAGTGGTACATAACATGCAGGGGTTTGTCCTTCCATGAGGGTTCCTGCTCTTCCTTCCCTTGTTCTTCTGGTTTCTGCTGCCTGAGGTATTCACTAAGCATGTCATCCCTCAGGCTGCCTTTGTTGTTTCATCCTGGATAGTGGAGCTCACTAATCCTTGGCTTCCTTCCTTCTGCTTAGTGTACAGTCTCAGGATGCTTGATTTGAAACCCTCCATTTTGATGTCAGTGGCTTATACAGTGCCTTGCGAAAGTATTCGGCCCCCTTGAACTTTGCGACCTTTTGCCAAATTTCAGGCTTCAAACATAAAGATATAAAACTGTAATTTTTTGTGAAGAATCAACAACAAGTGGGACACAATCATGAAGTGGAACGAAATTTACTGGATATTTCAAACGTTTTTAACAAATAAAAAACTGAAAAATTGGGCGTGCAAAATTATTCAGCCCCTTTACTTTCAGTGCAGCAAACTCTCTCCAGAAGTTCAGTGAGGATCTCTGAATGATCCAATGTTGACCTAAATGACTAATGATGATAAATAGAATCCACCTGTGTGTAATCAAGTCTCCGTATAAATGCACCTGCACTGTGATAGTCTCAGAGGTCCGTTTAAAGCGCAGAGAGCATCATGAAGAACAAGGAACACACCAGGCAGGTCCGAGATACTGTTGTGGAGAAGTTTAAAGCCGGATTTGGATACAAAAAGATTTCCCAAGCTTTAAACATCCCAAGGAGCACTGTGCAAGCGATAATATTGAAATGGAAGGAGTATCAGACCACTGCAAATCTACCAAGACCTGGCCGTCCCTCTAAACTTTCAGCTCATACAAGGAGAAGACTGATCAGAGATGCAGCCAAGAGGCCCATGATCACTCTGGATGAACTGCAGAGATCTACAGCTGAGGTGGGAGACTCTGTCCATAGGACAACAATCAGTCGTATACTGCACAAATCTGGCCTTTATGGAAGAGTGGCAAGAAGAAAGCCATTTCTTAAAGATATCCATAAAAAGTGTTGTTTAAAGTTTGCCACAAGCCACCTGGGAGACACACCAAACATGTGGAAGAAGGTGCTCTGGTCAGATGAAACCAAAATCGAACTTTTTGGCAACAATGCAAAATGTTATGTTTGGCGTAAAAGCAACACAGCTCATCACCTTGAACACACCATCCCCACTGTCAAACATGGTGGTGGCAGCATCCTGGTTTGGGCCTGCTTTTCTTCAGCAGGGACAGGGGAGATGGTTAAAATTGATGGGAAGATGGATGGAGCCAAATACAGGACTATTCTGGAAGGAAACCTGATGGAGTCTGCAACAGACCTGAGACTGGGACGGAGATTTGTCTTCCAACAAGACAATGATTCAAAACATAAAGCAAAATCTACAATGGAATGGTTCACAAATAAACATATCCAGGTGTTAGAATGGCCAAGTCAAAGTCCAGACCTGAATCCAATTGAGAATCTGTGGAAAGAACTGAAAACTGCTGTTCACAAACGCTCTCTATCCAACCTCACTGAGCTCGAGCTGTTTTGCAAGGAGGAATGGGCAAAAATTTCCGTCTCTCGATGTGCAAAACTGATAGAGACATACCCCAAGTGACTTACAGCTGTAATCGCAGCAAAAGGTGGCGCTACAAAGTATTAACTTAAGGGGGCTGAATAATTTTGCACGCCCAATTTTTCAGTTTTTTATTTGTTAAAAAAGTTTGACATATCCAATAAATTTCGTTCCACTTCATGATTGTGTCCCACTTGTTGTTGATTCTTCACAAAAAATTACAGTTTTATATCTTTATGTTTGAAGCCTGAAATGTGGCAAAAGGTCGCAAAGTTCAAGGGGGCCGAATACTTTCGCAAGGCACTGTATCTCCTTCCCTGATGACCAGCAGGGCGTAGGTGTTAATCACCCGGACCTCTCAGTACTTGCCTTACTCTCTGCAGGTAGTTGCCACTTAGCTTGCAGCCTCTTCATGGTTCCCATTTGCCTGCAGGATTTTGTACTACTTGTAGCTGTCCTCAACATCTATGTACAACCCCCTCAGTTCTGACTACCTTTCCTCTCCTTGTTACCATTCTACTTGATTGGGTGTGGATCCGTAACCACTCTTGGTGGTGATCTGGACAGCAGGGACAAATCATCCTTATTTGTGCAATTGGCTTGAGGTTGTTGTGGCCTGCTCTCCAGTCAACTAGCCACTGGGCATCGTTATGTGGTGCCTCCTTCTCTCATATGCTCTTCCAGAATTGTTCAGTCTCCAGCCTGGCTACAGCTTCTCTGGTGTACCTCTTCAGCCAGGTGGCCAGGGCCATGAGCCTTTGCTTGGCAGTCTCTAAGGCCTCAGGTATGGACAATTTGTTGTACTTCTTAGGTACCACTTTCTTCATCATGCCGTTCTGCAATTCCAATAGCTGGCTAACTTCTCTCCATGTTGCCTTGATCTTGATCCTTCTCCATGGAGGATACTGCTTCTTTTGGCCTTTGTTGAACTTGTAGCAAAGCATCTCAAGGATCACGGTTGCTGTGGTGTATATCAGCTTGTTGGTTTCAGTGATGGTCATAGTGCTGCATTCATATCCTGTAGTAGACTTTCAGAAGGCACTTCACATAATCTTGGTAACCAGCCATGGAGGTTCCAGGTCTCTATCTTGGTCATGATCTTCAATCTCAGGTCAGCTGCTCTTGCATTAAGTTCATTGGGGCTTGGCACCCAATCTCCGATTGTGGGGGTGATGATATCTCCCCCCTGATCTACCGTCCTGGCTCCCCCTTGCCGTAGCATTCATGTTGTTCCTCATCAATCTCTAGTTGTGATAGCAGGTGCTTCTTGCAGATGTTAGAACACCAAGATCCTAGTAGTTTTGATGTTGGTCTAGATGTCAGTTTTCAAAGTATTCATAAGCCCCACATCCTCCGTATTTAACCCCTCTCGCTGGGGCTACGTGTATAGTAGCATTCCAATAGTTCCCTGTTCTCATCTCTTGCCCATGAATGTCTTGTTCTTCTTCATGTGTGTGTGTATGCTTTTTTTCTCACCAAAACAAACTCTGGGTCTTTGCAGTTTCAAAGTGTTAAATGCAGAAAGAAACCTGACATTTAAAAGAAAATGCCCTTTTTGACTTGGCCTGTGTTAAGATGCATCTGGCCAGGATGGAATTAAAACACCAGACATTCAGACTGCACTTTAGAAGCAGCAGAAAAACTGGTTTGCTGGCAATTATGTCCCACAGAGGTTTTGATTTAGGTCTGTGGAATTAAAGGATGGGTAAGTCTGTTTTCAAGGTTAGGCAGTGACAGATCAAATCCATGCTGTTTTCAGACAAAGTTTCAAAGGAGTCTTCAAACAAAATCAATTTCT